GGTTGGTGGGGGAGGGGTCCTCCCTCCACTCCCCGGCGCGCGCGCGCACCTCTCTCTCTCTCTCTCTCTCTCTCTCCCTCTCTCTCTCTCTCTCTCTCTCTCTCTCTCTCTCTCTCGTGTGCGCGCGCGCGTGCGCGCAACGGCTGAGAGTCTCACTCTCTCTCTCGCGCAACGGCTCAGAGTCTCCTGAGCCCTCCTCCACTCAACGTGGCTCGTTGCCACCCGAAATCTCACAGCCGTGGTAGGCCTTTTTTTTCTTTTTTTTTTCAAAAAAAAAAAATTCCGATCGAAAAAAAAAGTTAAAAAAAAATGGGCAGGTGGCCCTTTACAGTCCCCACACGTCTATAAAAAAAAAAGTACCCCTACCAGGCGAAAAAAAAAAAAAAACGGAGTTCCCGCTCAGCGTGAACTCCGTGAACTACCGGCGTTCACGTTTTGCCCCCGTTCACAACCCCCTTGAACGGTGAACGGGGGTATGGCACTGATGGTCGTTCTGTGCGTTGTCACAGGGAATGAGATCGTTCCACAAGCCCGCAGAGCGCCGCAACACCCACCACCTTGGGGGAGGCCTTGCAATGGCATTCGTCAACTCCACAATGGTGGGCAACAGCCACAGGAGACTACGGCCGCCATGCCCATCGCCATCGTCATCGACAGAGTCAAATTTATGTGACTGCTGTGTGGACCCTAGAATGAAAGATGGTCTCCTTGTCCGGAATCCCATGATGAGATCCAACATTTCGAAGGCATCATCTGCCATTTTCCCCGCGGTGGCCATCAAAGCCAACACGACATCCTCACGCTCCTTCCTCCGTAAGCGAGGCATTGCCAGACAATCAAAGCACTCGCTGCTATGTCGTGGCCGTGCCCGTCCACAACCCCCCACCCCCTCAAACCCCCCCGGATGGACTAAAACCCTCACCCCCTCGAAAGTTGGTTGTGGAAGCAGCAATGGGAAACTCGCTCAGCCTCAACGGAGGTGCTTCCCGTACGAATGGCCGAGCATACCGGAGGTTGATAAAAAAACACAGTTTCACAATGACAGTTACTGGGACATGAATGCTAGTAATGGGCAGAGAAGCGCACCGGCATTTTTCCAAATATGCGGCCCGGACGCAGCTACTCTCCGCGAATGGCCAAGGCCTCAGTAACGCAGCGCCAACAGCAAGCGTTTCCCAAAAGGGAAACCACAACAAGTTTCCACTCGGAGCAATGTCAGTATTCTGCCTCCCGAAAGCGGACCATAAGTTGCGGAGCCACGCCGATACAGACCCATCAGGACTACGATTTTGCATTCCTGAAAAAAAAACGAAAACTGCTTTTTCCTATTTTTTAAATGGCCACAAACGTGCCACACACGACATGAATCTATGCTAGTCTGCCCAGGCCCCAGGTAAATTCTCCACAAGCCCCACAGCGTGGTGACATTGAAAAAAAAATAAAAAATCGAAATGACCTACAAAATAGCAAAAGAAAATGCTTATTTTGGCTGGTTTATTTTTGTTTTTTTCGTTTTTAATTAAAAAAAATATTATTCGTGAAAATTTTTTTTTGAAAAAGTTATAGGGAGTTACCCTTCGATCTCCCCCACCCTCCTATAAAAAACAAAACATACCCCCCAGCCAAAAAAAAATAATAAAAAAAATACCGCTCTCTGTGAACTCCATGAACTCCCGTGTCGTGAACTCCTGTGCCCGTGAACGGTGAACGGGGGTACGGCACTGGTTCACGGAGAGCGGTTTTTTTTTTTTTTTTTTTGGCTGGGGGGGTAATTTTTTTTTTTATTGGAGGGTGGGGGTCATCGGAGGGTAACCCCACACATTTTCTTAATTTTTCTTTCTCGAATAATATATATATTTTTTAATTAAAAACGAAAAAAAAAAAAACAACCAGCCAAAATAAGCTTTTTCCGAGTTTTCGCTTGTTATTTTGTACGTTATTTCCTTTTTTTTTTTCTCTTCTAGCCTAGTAGGTTATTTCGTGGTTCAAGAAAGCACCAACCTCAACGGGGTCCGTCTCACACACACACACACACACACACACACACACACACACACACACACACACAGAGAGAGAGAGAGAGAGATCTGTTAGAGAGAGAGAGAGAGAGAGAGAGAGAGAGAGAGAGAGAAAGAGAGAATTTTTTTTTTTCCCCTGCTTCTCCTCTCCCAGGGCTCTGTGGGCCTGTGCCAACCCCCACCCACCTCCACCCCCCAAAACATTTTATTTTTTTTTTCACACACACCCCATTCTTTTTTTTTTTTTAACTTTTGAAGGCACGGGGGTGTAGAAGGCCCCCGCAGCACCCCCATCCCGCCCCGATCCCGACCGTTCCGGCCTCCACGTGGGCGGAAACCACGTGAACGGCCGTTCACAGATTTTGGCCCCCGTCACCGGCCGGTCACGTTCAAGTGACCAGTGCCGGTCACGTTCACGGGACCGACACTCTTGACCGCGACTTCTGTCCAAGCCGTCGGGAGAAATTAGGGGTAGGAAAGAGACCCCTATTATTCTCCATGTCAACTATTAAAACTGACCCTTGAAATCAATGAGAGGAACTGCTGCGCCTGCCACGCCTACTGCCTGTCATTTTCATCCGTTCCGAGGCTGTTCCCGAAGCGGCCGGCGGTGGCATGGTGGTAGGCCCAGGCGCATCGCTTTCACACTCAACAATTGACGAGGAATTGAAACCTCAGTTTTTATTAATTTTAATATCAAAAGTAAAACTGAGAAAGAGGATTAAAAATAATAAAAGTGGAGAGAAAACGAAATATTTGCTTAGTTTCTAGGTTACCAGCCGGGCCGCCCGGGCCGCATCGGACCTGCATGGAACCCGCCCGGGCGAGCAGCTTACCCGGACAGGCCCCCGGGCAGACCAGCGCAATTCGAATTAGCGCTGGTTTTCAGTGCAGTTGGGCCCCATATCGCTCCCCGGGCTCCTACGCGCCTAACGGGAAAAAGAAAAGCTGGCGAACGTCTTTTTTCGGGTCGTGGTTGTGCCCTCCGGTTGACGTCCTTGCTCTTTCTCTACATGCCCTGCCCTCTAGCCGACGTCCATGCCTCCCGAGTTTCCACCCCTTTGTCGCCACACCCTGCCCTTCGTTGCTACGCCCTGCCCTCCAGCCGACATCCTTCCCCTTCGTTGCAAGCCGCCGGACGCGCCCGGGTGAGTTGGTCATTGTCCTCTTGCTCCTTTCCTCCTCTTCCTCTTTTCCTCCTCCTCTTCCTCGTTCCCTCCTCCTCCTCCTCTTCCACTCCTCCTCTTCCTCTTCCTCCTCCTCCTCTTCTTCCTCCTCGTCCTCCTCCATTTCTTCGTCTCGTTTTACTCTAATTTTCAGAGAGAGAGAGAGAGAGAGAGAGAGAGAGAGAGAGGAGGAGAAGTAGCAGGTGGCAGCGATCGGGGAGGAGGAGGAGGAGAAGTAGCAGATGACATTTGATAGCGAGCCGGGTGGGTTGGGGTTGGGGATGTGATGGCATAGGCTGGAAGACACGTGGCAAAGGGGAAGGAGCATGATCGGGATGGGATGGGGATTTGGACGTGATGGAGATCGGGATGGCATTTGATAGCGAGCCGGATAGGATCGGGGTGGGGATGTGATGGCATAGGATGGAAGACACGTGGCAAAGGGGAAGAAGCGATCATTGGACGCTCGCTGACCGTCAGTTTCCTGATGGGTTTGAAGTAGCAGGTGACAGCGAAGAAGGTGCAGCACGTCGGATATCTTCGATCAGCATCCTCTCCTCTTCCTCTTCTTCCTCCTTCTCTTCTTCTCCTCCTCTTCTAAGTCTTCTTCATCCTCCTCCCCGTGCAAATCAAATCCATGTCCTTTTTTTTCCCTCATACCCGAACTACATATCCGGAACTGTGACAACTGTCGTCCGCTCATGGTTTTGGTTCGGGTCTGCACACAGAGAGAGAGAGAGAGAGAGAGAGAGAGAGAGAGAGAGAGAGAGAGAGAGAGAGAGAGAGAGAGGTCTGCCGATGGGTTTTTGTGCCAATAAAGCGCCATTTTTCCTAAGTGATGCGGTTGTAGTCTTGTAGAGACTCTCCGCAGTTTTCTCTACTCTTGCTCCGCAAGTGATGCTGCTGCACTTGTTTCATCACTGCCGTAGCACTTGTCGTGGAGTTCGTATCTAGTTCCTTGAAGACGAGCTGCGTGCCTCCTCCTCCTCTCCCCAGCTCTACCTTCAACTCTTCCTCCAGTACGCTGCACTCTCACAAAAACGGAGATTCGAGAGTAGTGCAATCGCTGCCCAACGACGTCGTTACGATCCATTAGTCCACGGGCGCCGTTTGAGGTGATCGATGTTGTACGGCTAGGAGAGGCGGATGGGGGCTGCTCCATCCACGTGGCTGGGTGACATTGCGATAGCGAATCCACGTGGCGGTCTGACATTCCAGTTTGGGGCGCGACGTGGTGCTTTGGGGTTTAGCGAATGGCGCCAAGAGCCGTGGCCCGTGGGTAATCGAGATATGGCGGGAAACACAGGGCCAGGCCCTCGTCTGTGGGGCCATGATAACGTAGAGCGGCTGGCTGATCGGCGGCTAGGAAAGGGAGGAGGAGGAAGAGGAGGGGGAGGAGGAGGGAATAGAATTCGGCGGGAAGAAGATGACGAACAACGTTTTCGAAGAATGATGGCAGAAACTTTCGGTGAAGCACTCAGAGAAGCAGCGTCCATTAGATCAGTGTCCATTGAACGGAGGAGGAGAGCGGCTGAAGAAGGAGATATGGAGTTTGCAGTGGAAGTTTATCACAAGCTACGTTTCGATTTTCCGGTCGGTATCAGGCGGCGGATGACGATTTGTTTTGTGTTTTTTTCCTCGTCTTTCTTAATTCTCTTCTTGTCTTTTTTGTACATCTCCTTCTCTTGCTTGCCTTCTCTTGTGTCCCGTCCTCCTCCTCCCTTCGATATGAAGCTCCATGGCCGGCGCCAAAGGGTGGGAGAGTCGAATGGCTTTTCTCCCTACTTCTATCCTTCCTTCGTCAATTTCTGTTTTCTCCATCCGATTTCTCGTACGTACTTCTGTTGATCAAGTTTTTTTTATTTTTTGGCTTTGATTCCCCCTCTCCTCCTCTCGTTTGTATCCTGGCTCTTCTCTTCCCAGCAGATTTAGCGAGGTGGCAATCGGGAAACGATCGCTCTCTTGTTGTTTCTTCTGCTTTGTTGGCCCATTCTCGCTCCTCTTCCTCCTCCTCCCCTTTCTCCCCTTCTTCTTCCTCCTGCCCCTCTTTCCCCCTTCCTCACCCCTCTATCCTCTGCTATCATCCGTCAGTCCTCCCTTGTTTATTTCTTTCCATGTTTCTCTCATGTCCTTGACCACATTCACCTCCCCTCCTTCCTCTTCCCTCCTCCCACTCCTATGCCTCCTCCTCCTCTTCCCCGTCCTCCCCTCCTACCCCCC